CCTCTAAATGTATTCTGGAGTGATGGAACCCTCTCAAGATGGAGTGAAACAATTTTCCAGCTTAAGATAACTTAAAAGCACCCCAGGAAAGGTCTGTCTTACTTGGATAGAAGGGGATCACAGCTTAGTACAGTGTCTGGGAGCCAGCAGGAAGCTCTTATCCACAGCACACATCAGCAACCAAGGCCCCTCCATCCTGGTTTCACAGGTTAATGGCACAGCAGGCCAGCTGTGAGGACTCCAGTACCAGTGTAGAAGGCAAACAGCCAACCTCAGGACCCCAGCACAACAGGTATGAATAGAGCAGCCCACCCCAGTGCAGTGGGCAAGCTGCCAACACCTGCGACCTTGGTGCAGAAAACCAGTGAACAGGCCCCTGGCCTCCAATGCAGTAAGCTTGGAACAGTGGCCCCTGTGCCCCAGAAGCAGAGCTCGACTTTAAAGTCACTAAAACTGCTTAAAAATGAGTAAAAAACAGAAAAGAACCCTAACCATAGAAAGCTACTGTGGTGACAGGGAAAACCAAAACACAAACTCAGCAGAGGACAACAATGTCAAAATTTATATGTGAAGCCTTAAAAGGGAAGATGAATTGGTCTCAAGCTTAAAAAACCTTCTGGGAAGAACTCAAAAAGGATTTTTAAAATCAAGTAAGAGGGGTAGAAGAAAAATTGGGAAAAGAAATGAGAAATTATGCAAGAGAGAGTCAACAGCTTTCAAAAGGAAGGACAAAAATTGACTGAAGAAAACAGCACCTTAAAAAGTAGAATTGGCCAAATGGAAAAGGAGGTACAAACCCTAACTGAAGAAAATAATTCCTTAAAAATTAGAATTGGGCAAGTGGAAGTTAATGACTCTATGAGACATCAAGAATCAGTCAAACAAAATCAAAAGAATGAAAAAACAGAAGTAAATGTAAAATACTTTATTGGAAAAATGACTGACTTGGAAAATACATACAGGAGAGATAATTTAAGAGATAATGAATTACCTTAAAACAAGGATCAAGAAATTATCTAGGAAAACTGCCCTGATATCCTAGAATCAGAGGGTAAAATAGTCATTGAAAGAATCCACTAATCACCTCCTGAAAGAGATCACAAAATGAAAACTCCAAGGAATAATGTAGCCAAATTCCAGAATTATCAGGTCAAGAAAATACTGCAAGTAGCTATAAAGAAACAATTCAAATATCAAGGAGCCACAGTCAGGATTACACAGAACATAGCATCTTCTACATTAAAGGATCTGAGGGCTTGGAATATGTTCCAGAAAGCAAAGGAGCTTGGATTACAACCAAGAATCAACTACCAAATAAAACTGAGCATATACTTTCAGGGGAGGAGATGGACAGTCAATGAAATAGGGGACTTCCAAACTTTCTTGATGAAAAACCAGAGCTGAAGAGAAAATTCGATCTTTAAACACAAGACTCAAGAAGCGTAAGAAGATAAAGAGGAAAAAAAATGTTATTCGATAAGATTAAACTGTTTACATTCCTACACGGGAAGATGATACTTGTAACTCTTGAGAACTGTATCTCTGTTAGGACAGTTAGAAGGAGTATACGTAGACAGAGGGTGTGGGTATAAGTTGACTTTGATGTGGTGATGTAAAGAAAAATTAAGGGGTGAAAAAATGGATTGTGCTTGGAGAAAGGGTGATACCACAAGCAAATTAGGAGAGTAAGGAATAGTTTACCAGTCAGAACTATAGAGAAGGGAAGAATTTATGACCAAGGAAGAGATAGACAATGTTATGAAATGCAAAATGGATAGTTTTTATTACATTAAATTAAAAAAGTTTTGCACAAACAAAACCAATGCAACCAAGATTAAAAGGAAAGTAGAAAGCTGGGGAACAATTTCTGCAGCCAGTGTTCCTCATAAAGGCCTCATTTCTCAAATATATAGAGAACTGAATCAAATTTATAAGAATACAAGTTCTGGGGCTCAAGGTGAAATATATTGATTATATGGATATTGGGGGAAGGTTACCAGGAAGGAGACTTGGTGTTATTTAATATTGTTGATCATTGTTGTACCACTTTGACTTTCTTGTTTTGTGGTGTTTATGTTTGCCTACAAGACATGTATGTCAAAATTCCTTTTATTTATTGTTCGGGAATCAAGGCCATTCCTCCTTGCAAATTTTTTGGTTAACTGAAAGCCTGTCTTATGTTTTTATTCACCATACCTTACCAAAACTCAACTTATGGAATAATAATGGTAACTGTTTGAGAAAGGGATATTTGAGCTTCCTAAAGTATTTCACTTTTTTTCAACTACCCTAGCTAATTGGGGACATATAAATCTCTCCTCTCAAATCAGTCCATTGTGGACCCTCTAAATAGTTTAATCTGTAACCTGACAATTTATCTATAAAATCTGCTTAATAAGGTTTGTCTTCTTAAGAGATATATGAGATTATACCTCTGCTTAATTAAGTTTGTTCGACTTTTATGACATTGAAGGAAACATGATTAGGATTTTTTTTTTTGTGATGTTCATGGCTGTAGTGTACTTGTTTCCTAGTGAAAGTTTAAGTTCCTTAATTTATAGTCACTAATGCTTGCTCAGTTTAATTTCTCTGTGTTTAATTCCCACCCTCCCTCCTTCCCTATTTCTCCCATCCTCTCTCTTCTTCCCTCCTTCTCAACCTCCCTCCCTCCCTCTCTCCTTCCTTCTCTCTCTCCTGAGATCATGAGATCTCGGGGGAAGTTTGTAATCAGTCCTATCCCTCCTTAGATGAATTACATCAAGCTTTAGATAAGGTGGATCATGAGGACTCTTCCTTTGATTCAGATTATGTTAATTAACCCCCCCCATACCTTAACTCAGCTTTTTTGCTTTTGTAATTATGCTTTTGCTAGTATGATAATGTTGAGAGTGAAAAAACCCAAAAGGAAGAAATTCTGGAAATAATGACTAATTATATTGTTTGGGAAAAAAATTATACTGTTTAAATCCAACTTTATGTGATTAGAGGTTGCTTGTACCTAGAATGTTGCCTGACCTCAATAACTCTCTAGGAATGCTGGAGATGGCTGCAAATTTTGGGGGGTTCTCCCAGGTCCTAGATCCACCCAGAGCATTCTTGACATGGGTCCTTACATTCAGGACTTGTTTTGGCTCCACGTAAGCTCATATCTTGGGGTCCCTTCAGGTAATTTTTGTGTGACTCCTGTGTGGATACTCTACATAATGTAAACCTTCCAGAATTTGGTGAGAGGGACCTACCTCTTTTTTTTGGCTAAGTTTCTTTATCAAATGACCCAATAAATTTCTTTGTAAAACTATTTCAGATTTTGGAGTTTGTTTTCACAAACAACATGTCCTTGTTACATTATAACTAGTTTCATTAAATCAAAGGGAACTAAATGTCAGACTAAATAAAGGAAGGGGACATTCTGGAGCCTCTGAAATACTCCTTTTTACTAATTAAGTCTTTTTGTACCAGTTAGACTTGAAAAGAAGACAAGGAAACCAGTTGCTGCAGCTGGTCTTGCAGTTCTCAAGGGGGCCATAGACAGCAAAATGGCCCATTCAGAAAAAGATGGAATCAGTTATGTTCTCCTGAAAATTCACTTTCAACAAATTGAATCAATCAATCAATTCATCAAAGGGGTAGCCTAGTTAGGAATAAGTCCTAATCAGTTCGGGAAGAGTAAAGTGCTTTAATGATTGGAAAAAGACAGATGATTCTCATAGCCTTGTGGCTGAAAAAATCAGGCATAACTATCTTCTTGTGTATAACAAGCCAGGTCAGAATTAGGCATTCTCAGAGGCAGGCCAGTCCAGTCCTGAAGTCAGTCAGCTAGTCAACATTTATTAGAGCCTTACTATGTACTTGACCCTATCCTAAATCCTGGGAATACAAGAAGAAGCAAAAAGAAAAATCGTTCCTGCCCTCAAGAAGCCTACATTTTAATAGAGGAAAACAATACATAAAGGAGCCAAAAGAGGATGTGAGGGAGAAAGAATATACCAGCTGGGGTCATTGTAGAGAAACTGTATGGAGATGAAATAGCAGGAATTGCCTTTTTTAATGCAGTTCTGAGAATACAGTTTTTCTCCTTCCTCCCCATCGACCAGGTGATGATCTTGTGAACTTCGAAAGGTCAGATCAGTTCACTACGTGTCAGAAACAGTGTCAAAGGAACAGTGGCTGTGGGTAGCTTTTCCCCTGGGACCTGAGAGACATACTGAGGACAGAACGAGACACACCAGGAAAGGCAGCTTCAGAATTCAATGGAGACACCAATCCATGGATCTCTGCAGGATCACACACTCACGGCGACCTTCATGCTGACTCCTGGAAGGGAGAAAAGAACTTTTGGTAACTAGGAGTTGTGAGTTTACCCCTCCACCATATGTGCTAAGTTCCAGCAAGTTTAGTGGGGATGTTTATGTAACAACTGTACCTTAGAAATACACTTTATAAAACTAATTAAATCTGATAATCAATGGAAAACACACAGTGTTTGTTTCATGATGCACAGCACTAGACTTCTCAGCCTCACCTGGTTACCTCCCTAGAATAACAGTGAAAAGTAGTCACCAGCAACTTGGGCCCTCCCCACCAAAGCCTATTCGTTTTGGGGAAGTAACCTTGGAGACAGTGTTAATCTAGGAAATGCATTTTCCCAACATATATTCATGTTAGACACATAGGTCAAAAACTATTCAAAGAAGCCATTATAAGGCTTCTGGTACCAAAAAAGTTAAGGGGGAAGAGGGGTTTGAGAGAAAGAAGGGAGGGTAATGAAGGCCAGTGTCATAAGGTGAGTTGCATTTATACCCCTCCACCACGTGAGCCAGATTTCTCTTTTCTCTAGGATAAAAGCCGATGAGGAAGCCGGGTAGGAAACAGAGCAGGGGTGAGGAAGCCACGGCCTCGATTCCCCACCCCTGAAATAAAGCTTGCATTCTGGTTCCCCAGACACAGCGCTGGTCACGTGGGCAGGGAACCCTTCCCTCTCACCCCGCCCCCAGAAAGAACGGCGTCCTTGGCAACCAGGTTTGGCGCTCGTGAATGGGAACCCCCAGCAGGTAAGCAGAAAGATTACTCAAAAGAAAGTTTGCCTGAAACAGACTACCAGCTCCCGGGCCAGCCACCGAAATCACTTAGGTCGACAGCAATGAGAGGACAGAGGGGCTGGCCCAGGTTTTCTGGAGGCGAGGCCTGTCCTCCCCCTCCCCCTTCTGCCTACTGCCGGGGCTCCCCGCCGAGGGAGGCGCAGGGAAGGGTGGCGCCGCTCAGGCTGACCCAAGAGCAACATAAGGGCCGTTAACGTGTGAGCTGTGGTCGTATTAGGGGCAATATAAGTACCCTTCAGAACTTTTCTTCTTCCGCGTGCGATGCCTTGCAGTGTAACCGTATTCTTCCGAGGTGGGTCTGGTGGGTGCATCGAGTTTTTTATAGGTTTTATAGCTTGAAGGAACCTTCTAGATCATCTAGCACAATTGCCTTATTTAACTGATAAAGAAACTGAGGCTTAGAAAGATGAAATGACTTGCTCAGTCACAAAAATAATAGATAGCATAGCCAGCGTAAGAACCCAAGCCTTCTGAGTTAAAAAACAATGCTCTCTCATCTTTGAACCTAAACGGTAGTCAGGTTTTTTCATAGAGGCACACTATTTTTTTTTTTTCCATTTATTCACTCCATTCCTTCCTTCCTTCCTTCAGCTTTGGATGCATCATTGTACTAAGTTCTGGGAGAGAAAGAAAGATAAAGGCATGACCAAGATGTTAGGGAAATGCATACAGATAAGTGGAATAAAATTAGAATATGATAACTGCATACGAACAACACAGAATTCTCTTAGATTAGATGGGAGATCATTTCCATTTAGTGAATCAAGAAGAGGTGATATTTAAACTAGGCCTTGAACAATAGGTAGTCATTGGGGGGGGGATACTGGCATGGGTAGGCACTGAGTAATGCAAATGCTAAGAACATTGAAGTAGCTACATGAAGAATATGAAATCAGATGGAAAAAGGTAGGTCTGAGTCAGATATTTTTATTAAATTTATTTTTATTCTGAGTTTAATAAACAAAATGAAATCAACATTTCCATGTACACAGAACAGAAAAAGGATTATGTATGAAATGTATGTATAAACTTTATTTAAATATAAATTTGTAACATTAAATTCATTATAATTTACAAAGATGTTTTACATTTCTTTGTTATTTCTGGGCTTCTAATTTTTTTAAAATATGCTTTAATGACCCTCTTTTCTTAATCTTCTTTCTTTCTTTTTTTCTTTTAACCCTGTTCTTAGCCCTCTCTTTCTCATCCTATTCCTTACTGGGGAAAAAGAAAAACAAAGCTCAGTAAGAGATATGCATAGTCAAGAACAACTAGTTATAACCAGTAGCCCACACTGGCCATGTCCAAAAATATACATTTTATTCTGCAACTTAATTCAACATGTCTTCTCTAGAATCGTAATTCATCATTGATCCTCTGGAATCATAGGTCATTGCATTGATCAGAATTCTTAAATCTTTCAAAATTGTTTTTCTTTATTTTGTTGTTATTTTATAAATATTTCTCCTGTTTCTGCTTAACAAACTTCATCAGTTCATAAAAAGTCTTCCGAGGTTTTTCTAAAATCACCCCTTTCATCATTTCATGTAGTACAATAATATTCCATTACATTCATAAACTACAGTTTGTTAAGCCATTCTGCAATTAATCGGTACTAGTAGTTTCCAATTCTTGATATAACAAATGTAATGAGGGTCTGGCACATGGTCAGAGTGCATGAACTTCCTTAGCTGATGGAACTTTCATAAATGAAGAAGCTTGCTTCCAGGATAGTCACAATGACATGAAAGGGAAGTGCCTCAAAGAGAATGTGGATCATTTGCAGATATTCTATACCTGCTGTGTTCTATTAACCACAGGGTGAATAGGAAGCAATTTTGATTGGCTAGGAAGGCATCTGAAAGGCCTTAATGGGCTTTTCTTCAATGTCTCTCTTGTCTCAGTTCTTTTGGTTGCCTTCTTCATAGTTACTCTCTTTAGATGTACAGTGAGAGATCATGCTTTAAGGAGGGAGGTCTTGGGGCCTTCCTTGAAGCCACAGGGCCCTGAGAAATGGGCCTCTGTCCTTGGTCTCTTCATTCTTTTTTATTTTTTTTGGCTAGGCAATGGGGTTAAGTGACTTGCCCAGGGTCACACAGCTAGTAAGTGTTATGTGTCTGAGGCTGGATTTGAACTCAAGTCCTCCTGAATCCAGGGCCGGTGCTCTATCCACTGCACCACCTAGCTGCACTGGCCTCTCTGTCCTTTTCCATTCTAGGTAGAGTAGAGTTTCTGACTTTGGGAATTTCAAAAGCTCAGGAGACAGAGCCATAGGAATCTGAAAGTGCAAGTTCAGGGCAGATTTTGCAGCCAGTCCAGCACTGATGTCCCTTCCAGAGTAACCATATAGACCCAGGCCAGCAAAAGCTAAGACAAAGACTCAGCTGGCAATCATGCCACATCAGGACATGACACTCAATAATTTTATGTCATCAAAATTGTTTATCTTCCGTGATCTTCTCTCTCCCTGGTTTGATCATGATTGATTCCCCTGTCCATACATCTGAAAGGTAATTTGTTTCTTGTTCCCCTAATTTGTTTCTGATATTACCTCTTATGACTTTATATTCATGTGGCGCTTATTTGGGTTTATGGAGTAAGAAGTTAGTCTATAACTAGTTAATGCCAAGGCTGCTTTCTAGGTTTTCCAGCAGTTTTTGGCAAATAATGAGTTCTTAAGGATGTAGTTGAAATCTTTGGGTTTATTACAATATGCCACTATGTTCATTGGCTTCTAGATTGACCCTCTCTATTTTTAAGAAGAACCAAATAATTATGATGATTACTACTTTGTAGTATAGTGTGTGAAAAAAAGTGAATATTTAATTTCTTCTTTGACTACATTTATTCCCTTTATTTCTTTTTCTTACTGCTATTGTTAACATTTCTAGTATTATGTTAAACAATAGTGGGGATAATGGGCAACCTTGGTTTACTCTGATTTTACTGGAAAAGTCTCTAGCTTTTATGTATAATGTTCGCTTTGGTTTTAGATACATACTATTTTCCACATTAATGAAAGATCTAATTTATTGTACTTTGCAATGTTTGTTAACAAAAATAGGTATCAGAATTTATCAAAGGCCTTTTCAGTATTTATTGATATAATCATGATTTTTATTAATTTTGTTGTTATGAACATTTAGTTTTCCATTCCTGGTATAAATCCAACCTGGTTATAGTGCATGATTATTTGAATATGTTGTAATTTCTTTGTTAATATTTTACTTAATATTTTTGCATTGATTTTCATTAGGTCTGTAGTTTTCTTTCTCTGCTTTGTCTCTGACTGGATTAGGTTGACTTACCCAGTTGACTTATGTTATACTGATGTGCTAATTCAGATTTAACCTCATCAGTGCGTGAAGTGAAACTGCATTAATCTAGTGCTTACAATTATTTACTCAACAATACAAACATCAACCCCTCTAGGAACAAATCACTAATTCTTCGTGCAATAAATTCATTTGATTTCTGATAATGTCCTGGTGCTCACAACAAGATTACCTCCGGCCAGAAGCTGTATGTCTCCCTCTGAGGTGGTGGGTTAGCATGTCTTCATCAAACAGTGCTGCATGGTGAGCAAACGGTATGCTCAGATTTATGAGTTGGGGAATACAGAAGTCTGCTCTGGTCTTGACCCAGGAGCACGTTGATAGCTGTTACCTCCGGTAGGATTTAATGATTCTGGTTAAGAGTGATTACAAGTTACTAGACAAGTTCTGATTGATTGCTTATTACCTACATTTCTGATGAAAGGAAACTATAAGTCAAAACTTTAGTTTCCTAATTTCACGAACAAAAGTATATCATTTGTTTACCAGATTTGAGACACATACCAAATTTAGGAGTCTTACACCTATCATTGCACCATTGCCAAATTATAGTATTTTTAGTATAGAAAAACTGCTTACACAATAACTACTTAGTTTAAAAAAAAAGACTTAAAACAAAATGGAGTTGTTCAACCTAAGTTAGGATACTTATTCTCACTTCAAGTATGAGGCTGATTTTATCATAGAGTTGGGAAGGATTCTTTATTTTCTTAATTTTGAAAATAGTTCACACAATATGGCAATTAATTGTTCTTTGATTATTTGCCAGAATTCACTTTTAAGTCCATTTTTCTCCCTTGGGAATTTGTTTGTATATTGTTCAATTTCATTTTCTGATACTGTTACTTAAATAATCAAGTTCAATTTATCTGTATATTTTATATTTTGTATATTTCATCCATTTACCTAAGCTGTCATTTTTTGACATATAATTTGGCAAATAGTTTTGATAATTTCCTTTATTAAATATTAGATTGTGAATTTTTTTCATTATTGGTACAAATAGTTTGGCTTACCTCTCTCTTTTTAAAAACCAGACTAGGTAAATATTGCATTTATTTTAGATTTTTCCCCTCAAATAAGCTTCTAGTTTTATTTATCAGATCATTTTTTTCTTTCAGTTTTATTAATATCGTCTTAGATTTTCAGAATTTCTACTTTGACCTTTTTTTGGGGGGGGGTTGATTTATTGCTTTTCTATTTTTAAAAAATTGCACACCCAATTCATATATCTGTTCTTACCTATTTTGCTGAAGAAAGTGTTTAGAAATGTAAATTTTCCCCTAATAAATAATTAAAGGCACATTATAAATTCTGGTATATTGTCTAACTGTTGCTTGTCCTTCAGTCATCCAGTCATCTCCAACTCTCTGTGACCCCATGGACCATACATAGCACATCAGGCCCTCTGTCCTCCACCATCTCCTGAAGTCTGTCCAAGCTTATGTCCATTGCTTCCATGACAATATCTATACATCTCATCCTCTGCCATCCCCTTTTCCTTTTGCCTTCTATGTTTCCCACAATCAGGGTCTTTTCTAATGAGTCCTGTGTTCTCATTATGTGGGCAAAATATTTAAGCTTAAGCTTCAGAATTTGACATTCCTATGAATAGAC